GGTGAGTTCTCCTCAGACCTCTTGGCAGCCTTCTGTGCGGAGCACGGCATCCGCCAGACTTTCACGCTTCCGGCCTCTCCGCAGCAGAATGGGGTTGCTGAGCGCCGCATTGGCTTAGTCATGGAGGTCGCTCGTACCTCCATGATCCATGCGGCTGCCCCCCATTTTCTGTGGCCGTTTGCGGTCAGGTACGCCGCGCACCAGCTCAACCTCTGGCCCCGTGTCTCCTTGCCGGAGACCTCGCCCACACTGCTGTGGACGGGGGAGGTTGGCGATGCGTCGCGTTTCCGGGTCTGGGGTGCTTGTGCCTTTGTCCGCGATACCACCGCGGACAAGCTCTCCGCTCGCGCTGTTCCCTGTGTCTTCCTTGGCTTTGTCCCTGACGCGCCTAGTTGGCAGTTTTACCACCCCACCTCGCGCCGTGTTTTTGCGTCTCAAGACGTCACGTTCGACGAGTCGGTTCCCTTTTACCGTCTCTTCCCCTACCGCACTGCCCCTCTCCCCCCCCCGCCGCTCTTCCTCGCTCCAGGTGCTCCCCAGGTAGACCCCCTCCTCGCTCCCGGTCCTGCTCCTTCAGGTGTGTCTCAGGTAGACCCTCCTCCCTTGTCTGCGCCGGTTGAGGTTACTGGTGACTCAGGTCCTGCTGCCGGTGGTCCTGCTCGGGGTGCTGCCTCTGGGGGTGCTGAGCCTGGGGGTGCGGCGCCTGGGGGTGCTGCCTCTGGGGGTGCTGAGCCTGGGGGTGCGGAGCCTGGGGTTGCTGAGCCTGGGGGTGCTGCGTCTGGGGGTGCTGCGTCTGGGGGCGCTCGGGCGTCTGGTGAGCAGTCTCCCTCGAGCGACCGTCTCCGTAGTCGCTCCGCTGGTGCCTCGCCGCTGCACTCTCGTAGCCGTCTCCCTCTCTCCCCACAGCAGCTGCACGAGTGGTAAGTCAGCCGTCAGGGTCGCGCTACTGGAGTTGGGGGCCCTGCTGCGGGGTGCGCTGGTGTTGGCGGCACTAGAGTCGGCGCTGTCCCTAGGGGTGCGGAGACTGGGGGTGCTGAGCCTGAGCGTGAGGAGCCTGGGAGTGCTGAGTCTGGGGGTGCTGAGCCTGAGCGTGCGGAGCCTGGAGGTACTGCGTCTGGGGGTGCTGCGCCTGTGCGTGAGGAGTCTGGGGGTCCTGATTCTGGGGGTGCGGAGTCTGGGGGTGCTGAGTCTGAGTGTACTGCGACTACTGGTGCGCGGTCTCCTTGGAGTGGCCGCCTTCGTCCGCGTGTGCCTCTCACCTCGCAGCAGCTGCACGACTGGTACGGTCGCCGTCAGGGTCGCGCTACTGGAGCTCGGGGCTCTGCCGCTGGAGGTGCTTCTGCTGACGTCGCTGGAGCTAGGAGTGGTGCTGGTCCTTTGTCTACTGGTAGTCCTGGAGCTACTGGGACCGGAGGTGCTGTGTCTGGGGGTGCTGCTAGTGGAGCCGCTGAGACTGGAGACCCTGAGACTGGAGGTGCCGGTTCTGGGGGTGCTGCTGCTGGAGACACTGCGGTTGGAGACCCTGGGGCTGGTGGTTCCGGTTCTGGGGGTGCTGCTGCTGGTGGAGCTGGTCCTCGGGGAGCTGGAGCTGGGGCTGCTGGTGCTGGTGCCGCGGTGCAGCCGAGACTGTTCTTCGCTCCGCCGTCTTCGTCGTCCCCTACGCCGCCTGACTCTGTGCTTCGCCAGGTTCTTAGCCTACCGTCGTCTACTGGTCTTCCGTTACAGCCTGACTCCCCACTGCCTGCTCCTTCTCCCTACACTGCGCCGACTGGGGGTCTTGCTGCGCGTCGTGAGCCTGTGTCGCGTCCTGTCTCGCCTGTTCGTTCTGGTCGTACCAGTCGTCGTGTTGCTCGTCCGCGTCAGCCGGCTGTTCCCGGCGCACACCTCGTCGTCCGTCGTCCTTCCTCTACTGCGCAGTCCGTTCCTCTGCTGTCTCCCCCTGCGTCCTCTCTGCCTGACGTTCCGGACCCTGAGTCTGACCGGTTTCGTGCTGAGCACCCTACTGTCACGCGTCTGTTAGCCACTGTTGTTACTGACCCGTCGTTTGAGTCTGCTGCTGCGTCTGCCTTGGTCGCTGAGCTTGTTGACTTTGCTACTGCCTGTCGGTTGGACTACGCTGCTAGTCTTGTTGCTGAGTCTGAGTTTGTCTGTCCTCCGTCCGTCGGGGGTGAGTGTGCTCTTGGCACGGACGTCCTTGAGGACAGACAGGAGGACCTTGAGTGTCTTGCAGCCGCTGCGCCTCATCTCGTGGCCATGCTGCTTGCCCCTGAGGGAGACCCGGATGCTCTAGACATCCCTACCCCGCGCTCTTACGCTGAGGCGATCGCGGGTCCCTACTCCTCTCAGTGGCAGACAGCCATGGACGCAGAGATGGCATCCTGGAAGTCCACAGGCACTTACGTTGACGAGGTTCCCCCTCCTGGGGCGAACATCGTCGATGGCATGTGGATTTTCAGGGTGAAGCGGCCGCCGGGTTCTCCGCCTGTCTTCAAGGCTCGTTACGTTGCTCAAGGCTTCAGTCAGCGACAGGGAGTTGACTTCTTCCAGACCTTCTCCCCCACCCCGAAGATGACCACTCTTCGGGTGCTGCTGCACGTTGCCGCTCAGCGTGACTACGAGCTTCACTCTCTTGACTTCAGCACAGCTTTCTTGCAGGGCAGCCTACACGAGGAGATCTGGCTGCGCCGTCCTCCTGGCTTTACTGGGTCTTTTCCTCCTGGTACCCAGTGGAGCCTCCGACGGCCAGTTTACGGTCTCCGCCAGGCGCCACGTGAGTGGCACGACACACTGAGGACGACACTTGCGGCTCTTGGGTTTGCTCCCTCCACTAAAGACCCTTCACTGTTCCTGCGCACAGACACGTCGCTGCCGCCGTTCTACATCCTCGTGTACGTCGACGACTTGGTCTTTGCTACTGCTGACACTGAGGCACTTGCTCTTGTGAAGTCGGAGCTGCAGAGGAGACACACGTGCATAGACCTGGGTGAGCTGCGCAGTTACCTTGGCTTGCAGATCACCCGGGACAGAGCACGCCGCACCATCACCCTGACTCAGTCACACATGGTGCAGCAGGTCCTTCAGCGCTTCGGCTTCCAGTTCTCCTCACCTCAGTCCACTCCTCTGTCTACCAGCCACTCGCTCTCAGCTCCACCTTTGGACGAGTCCGTAGAGCCGAGTGGCCCGTACCCAGAGCTTGTGGGCTGCCTCATGTACATGATGACCTGCACTCGACCTGACCTTGCGTACCCTCTTAGCATCCTAGCTCGCTACGTCGCACCTGGGAGACACAGGCGAGAGCACTGGGAGGCTGCTAAGAGGGTGCTGCGCTACTTGTGCAGTACATCAGGCATGGGGTTGGTGCTTGGAGGACAGGGCTCGGTTGTCCTCACTGGACACTCAGACGCCTCTTGGGTTGACGACCTGGCTACGCAGCGGTCGTCACAGGGTTACACTTTCAGCCTTGGCTCTGATTCTGTCTCTTGGCGTTCCACTCGCTCTTCGTCTGTTCTCAGCTCCAGTTGTGAGGCTGAGATCTACGCCACGGCCATGGCTGCACAGGAGCTACGCTGGCTCACCTACCTGCTGACTAACTTGGGTGAGCGGCCTCGTTCTCCTCCAGTTCTGTACGGCGACAACAAGGCAGCTCTTGCCTTGTGTCAGGAGCACAGACTGGAGCACAGAACGAAGCACATTGCTCTCCGTTACTTTCTGGCTCGAGAGTTGCAGCAGCGTGGCCAGCTTCGCCTTGCGTACGTGGACTCGAAGGCCAACACTGCTGATATATTCACCAAGGCACTTCCGCCTAGTGATCATCAGCGGCACTGCACTGCGTTAGGCCTTGTGTCCACGTTCTCTCACTTGCTTACTTCTTGACTTTGTTTGTACTGTGAGCTATATATATGTCCTTGCATGCTTGCACTTGCTAGGCTTTAATCACTATACTACTTGTGTTCTCCTATATAAATCTGCATGTGAACTGGCCTTGTGGCCTTTGCTTGTGCTCAGAGAGTGTGGTGACATTGTGATCCACCCTGAGCTTGTTCTTTGCTTTGCTTGACTGGTCTTGTGACCCCTTGCTCTCCCCCACTTTGCCTATGGGGGTGTGTCAAAGTATAAATGTACTACGGTATATGTGTGTAGGCTGTAGTGGGGTAGCCAATATAGGGTACAACCCCAACTAGGGTTTCCTATTTGTACCCTTGCTTCTTTCAATCCAATCATTCTTGCCTAGTGATTCTAACAGTCTGCAGTCTCAGACAAACTGTACGGTATAAGGCTGTCTGAGAAATCAGACGAAAAAAAAAATGTTTCTCTTAAAAATCAGACGATGATAAACAGCATGTCTCCGGCATCAGATGAACCAGTAAAAATGTGTTCAAAATCCAGAAATTCAGACCAAAAATTTCTGATAAAGTAAGCCCTGTCGACAGTAGGTCCGGTAGTCGATCCTAACCTAGCCTCTGAAACCATGTGCGAGAGAATGATGAGTAGAAAGCAAGGATACAAGGAAACAAGTGTCAAACCCTAAACAGGTTGTACCCTACAAAGGCTACCCCGCTACAGCCTACAGCAATATATGCAATATAGTTTGCATAAGACACTAGGGTCTTATACCGTATCCAGAGGACGGTATATGGGAATGTTGACACAGGGTCCCAGAAAATGTTGTACGGTAGCTGACATCAGTCAACATTCTTCTGCTGGCACTACACCTAATACCAAGATCCTGACTAGGTGGGAAATTATGGTAACTGTCATCACCCAAACAAAAGCCTTGTAAATTGTAATGGTAAACAAAAAATCACTACTGTCCTGAAGAAACCAACAGGATCTTGACAAGAGGACAGGGGAGGGGGGGGGGGGGGGGGGGGGGGGGGAAGAGGAGGGGCCTTTATCCGGGGGGGGGTTTCAGGTGGGAGATGGGGGTGGGTGGGGAGAGGAGGGGCCTTTATCCACAGTAATATAAAGGTGAACAGATGCCGGCGTGGCACTGGCTCAGCTTAGCATTCAAGCATAACCAGTTGTTGCTCTGTAACCCCCATGCTGTGTGGCAATGTATGCCATGGGGAGACACAGGGGCACAGCCAACAAGGGAAGTAAAAGAGCATTATTCAGCACGGCGGTATGGTGTGCTGAGACGTCTCGCACACATCAGCGACCAAGTCACATGTGGAGAAAGGGCGGACGGTAGGGGGTGAAAGAGAATTGCAAGGCGGCGTGTCAGAGAGCCACCACCGAGCACCCACAACCCTCCCGGCTGCTCTGACCAAACATGCATGCCTTGCCCCAAACATGCATGCCTTGCCCCAAACATGCATGCCTTGCCCCAAACATGCATGCCTTGCCCCAAACATGCATGCCTTGCCCCAAACATGCATGCCTTGCCCCAAACATGCATGCCTTGCCCCAAACATGCATGCCTTGCCCCAAACATGCATGCCTTGCCCCAAACATGCATGCCTTGCCCCAGACATGCATGCCTTGCCCCAAACATGCATGCCCACAGCCCTCACCCCCACAGCCCACAGCCCTCACCCCCACAGCCCACACCCCCACAGCCCTCATCCCCACCGCCCTCACCGGTAGCGTGAGTGCAGCAGGGGTGGCTAGAGCCACTTGGGCCAGAAGCCGTGCACCCAGTAGCCCTGCTTCGCGTGGTCCAGCTGCACCACCTGCCGCACCGACGCCGCCGCCACGCCCATCGCGATGAACAGTAGCGCGCGCTGTGCCCACGCGCTGCGCATGCGCGGCGCCACGTGCGTGGCGAAGGCGACGAGCAGCCCGACGGTGGTGTAGAGCGCGCCGATGGTGAAGCCCTCCGCGCCGAACTGCGCGCCGCCGCCGCCGTAGAAGTAGGTGAAGCGGCCGGGGTGCTGGTGGTCGGGCACGAAGAGGGGCATGCCGCGGATGATGTTGAACATGCCGCCCGATACCGAGAAGAAGTACACGCCCACGCCCACCACGCACCACGTCGCCGCCTCGTGCAGCGGCGTGCGCGTCGTCACGAGCGCGCGCAGCACGAACGGCGCGGCGACGACAGCGAGCACGGCAATCACGATGACCTGCGTGGACGACACCTTGGGCGGCCGCTCGATGGGCCCCACGTCCACGCCCCCGCCGCCTGCAGGAACTTGGCGAAGCCGTCGGCCGTGGCGGGCGCGGACTGGAAGTCCATGTCCTGCCCGCGCGTTGACTTGGAGCCTGTGGGGAAGAAGCGCGTGGACGGCAGCCCGTTGACGGCGAGCGCGTGGAAGACCTTCTCCGACTGCCCGTACTCCACGTCGCAGAAAAACACCTCGTCGCGCGGCGCCGCGCCATCCGCGAGGAACTTGCTGGCGTACGCCCGGGCGACCAGCGCGAACTCGCGGCGCAGCGCGGGCAGCTTGAGGTCGGCGTTGTCGTGCAGCTTGGCGGCGTCGAAGAAGAGCAGCACACCGTACGGGCGGGGCTCCGCCGCCTTGATGTACGCCGCGAAGCTCTCGTCCGTTATGCGGATCACGCCGTCCTTGGCGCGCCGCCGCAGCTCCCGCAGCTCGTCCACTCGCGAGTCGGCGAGGGCGAGCGGGAGACACGCGAGCAGCGCCAAGGCGGCCACAAGACACCACCGCAATGCCATGGCGACGAGGCTGCGAGAAGCAGCAGCGGGGAATGAGTAAATGGCGACACGGACGGACCGATCAGGTGTGTGGGTGAATGAAGCGGTGGTGTGAGAGTCAGATCTGCCTGCTCGTGACGAAGGCGAGATTGGAGGACTGATGGAATGCGGTCTCGGTGTGTCACATCCGTTTAGGGCGTGGAACATTTTTACGACCACGCCGATTTGTCGTCATGGCGTTTTTTTCTTGGGGTTGCGTAGCAACCTTAATACACCCTCTTTCTCGCTACACTGGCAATGGGATTCACTGGCTATAGTGCGTACTGTTGCTTGGAACGTAGCGATCTGGTGCTTACAACCGAACTGACGGGCAAATGCTCTCCTGGTGAAAGGTACAAAACGGTTTTCAAAAGGAAACTTGCTTTGGCGTACGGTTGAGTGCGGGAAAACCTGCTTATATGGTACGTTCTGGGACCATCTGGACGCATTGATGTGTGTACATCCGATCAACCAGTATAGCCAATGACAGTATGGCACAAAAGAGGGTGTACATTTGGTAGCAATTTTAGGTCGACTCAAATGGACAGTGCCTTTTTTTGTATTTTTTCCAATGTCCGAACCGCTCGTTTCAACTTTTTGATAACGAGTGTTTCAAATATGTGGAGATGACAACACTGAACAAATAAGTCTCCAAAAAGATGAAACCAAATGTGACCTATCATTCCATAATCGTCGATACCGGTATATACGGCGAATGGAACAACAGGTCGTTACCAAACACAATTGACGAGAAAAGAAAAGAAAAAACCCACTGGTCATGAATGCAAATCATGTGCATACGAGCAAAAACAAAACAAAACAAGTGTGAGTGAATGCTAAAATGCATCGGTGCTACAACAGAGATGGTTCCGGTATGCTAAGGCAAGCAACGCTGCCCCAACAACGATCCCCACCTCAAATGCAGACCCGACACACTTTAACATCACACCTCAGTTGCATAACACGTGCAAAAACAACATTTAACAACTACGAGTGAATGGTAAAATGCATTGCTGCTGCAACAATGGTGGTTCCGGTATGCTGAGGCGAGCAACGCTGCCCCAACAACGATCCCCACCTCAAATGCAGACCCGATACAGTTTAACATTACACATCAGTGGCATACACGAGACAGATGGGTGCAAACAGACAAACGCACATATCGTACACACGGGCTCACACGCGCACGTAAACACACGCAAAATCACATGCACACTCTGACACACACGCATACAACCACACATAGATACAGAGACCGTATGAAACAGACAAACGTCATGAATAAAACTCAGAAATGCATAAATAGTTGCTAGCATATCTCACCTACGCTCTCGACAACCCTCCCTCCCTCCTTCCCTCATCTCCCTTTTCAGCTCACACAAAGCAAAAATAGAGAAGTCAACACACACAAGCCCTACACAAAGCAAAAACAGAGAAGTCAACACACACAAGCCCTGCACAAAGCAAGAACAGAAAAGTCAACACCCCTATGCCCTGCACAAAGATAAAATCGAGAAGTCAACACGCACGTGCCCTGCACAATAAAGCATGAACAGAGAAAGCAACAGCACACCTTGCACAAAAAACAGTGTATATTCACACACTGTGTACAAGAAAGCAACAAGGCCAAAGGCCATGTCGCTAGCGCTTCAGGCCCCGCAACACTAGATGCCATGCCAGCGACCAAGCGTTACAACCCATTGCACAAGCGTCCTAAGCACTAGCCCGAGTTGCCAGCGGCCTAGACGAGTGTCTGAGGCGCCAAAACCTTAAAGGCCAGTACTCTAAACGCTAGTGCCCAAAGCGACACTCATTCGTATAAGTAGCCCCAGTATCCCAAGCACCAGCACAATAGATGCTAGCAAACCCTAGCAAAGTTAGAAACAGGAAAGGGGGTTGCACTAGCAGCAGATAGGATACATATAGCAAACCCTAATTTGGGCTGTACTCACTATAGAGTACCCCACTGCAGACTAGACAATTATAGCATTCTGACACACCCCCATAGGCAAAGTGGGGTATGATCAGCACAGCAAACAGTAGCATAAGAAGTTCACAAGCACAAGCAGAGCTAGAGGCAGTCACAGAGGGCAAGTGAGGAGGAGGATGGACTGTGAGAGGAGAGAAGATTGGAGGCGGCGGCTGAAGCTGCTGGCACACGGGCTACTGGAGCAACTGGCACACTGGCTACCGAACACGTGAGGGCATCCCGACTACTGGAGTAACTGGCTCTGTGGCTACGACGAGCGGCTGGAGCATCGGACCCACGTGCGACTGGCGCAACGGGCTCGCTGGCTACCGGAGCAAGGACACGACCTTCCCGGACTACTGGCGCTGCTGGCTCCACAACGGCTACCTCCGTTCAACCCTCCCCCACTGTCACAGACCCCCTTTCACACACCCCCCTATGCACCCCTAGCTCCACTCCCACGGCACCCCCCTAGCGCCACTCCCTCGGCTCCCACACATCCACCCCCCTCAGCGGCAGCTGTAGCAGTGGGAGACGGAGGAGGAGGAGGAGTAGGGGACGGCTCACACATCCGCCACCCCCATATCCGCCACCCCCATACCTACAACGCAGGAGGCGCGCGTGCGGCGCGGGGCAGAGACGCGGGCAGCAGCTGGGGCGGCGTGCGAGCAGACGCGGGGTAGCGCGCGGGTCCCTGGGGCGCTGCGACTGGCGATGGGCAGGGCAGCGCGCGGGCCCCCAGGTCGCCGCGACGGGCAACGGGAGGGGGTGACGCGCGGGCCCCCAGGGCGCCGCGACGGGCGACGGGCAGGGCGGCGCGCGGGCCCCCGGGATGCCGCGACGGGCGACGGGCAGGGCGGCGCGTGGGCCCTCGAGGCGCCGCGACAGGCGACGGGAGGGGGCGGCGTGCAGGCCCCCGGGACGCCGCGACGGGCGACGGGAGGGGACAGCGCGCGGGCCCCCGGGGCGCCGCGACGGGCTACGAAACCGCGGCACGCGCCCGGGGCGCGCGGCGGGCAGGAAACCGCCACGCGCCCCGAGCGCGTGGCGGGAAGAAAAAACGCCACGCGCGCAGGGCGCGCGGCCGGTAGAAGATGTTGCGCGCCAGAGGCGCGCGACAGGTAGGACAGCAGCAGAAGCAGGTGGGCCCACAGGCCAGGAGCGTTCTCGCTCTGATAGCATGTCGAGAAATGCTAGCAAGGTTAGAAACAGGAAACGGGGTTGCACTAGCAGCAGATAGGATACATATAGCAAACCCTAATTTGGGCTGTACTCACTATAGAGTACCCCACTGCAGACTAGACAATTTTAGCAGTCTGACACCTACGCCCCAGCATGCTCATGCGCTCTCTCATGCGCTCCCTCACGCACTCCCTCACGCGCACCCAAACGCGCACCCTCACGCGCACTCTCACGTGCTCTCTCACGCGCTCTCACGCACTCTCTCACGCGCTCTCACGCGCTCTCTCACGCACACTCTCATGGGCACTCTCACACACTCTCTCACGCGCTCTTTCACGCGCTCTCTGACGCGCTCTCTCAGGCACACTCTCTCGCGCTCCCTCTCGCGCTCTCTCTCGCGCACTCTCACGCATATTCTCTCTCTCTCACAGGCTCTCTCACGCGCTCTCCCACGTGCTCTCTCTCACACGCTCTCTCATGCGCTCTCTCGCGCGTGCTCTCACGCGCAATCTCACGCGCACTGTCACGCGCTCTCTCGCACGCTCTCTCGCACGCTCTCTCGCGCGCTCTCTCTCGTGCACTCTCTCTCTCTCACGTGCTCTCTCACGCGCTCTCACGCACTCTCTCACGCGCTCTCACGCGCTCTCTCACGCACACTCTCACGGGCACTCTCACACACTCTCTCATGCGCTCTTTCACGCGCTCTCTGACGCGCTCTCTCAGGCACACTCTCTCGCGCTCCCTCTCGCGCTCTCTCTCGCGCACTCTCACGCACATTCTCTCTCTTACAGGCTCTCTCACGCGCTCTCCCACGTGCTCTCTCTCACACGCTCTCTCATGCGCTCTCTCGCGCGCGCTCTCACGCGCACTCTCACGCGCACTCTCACGCGCTCTCTCACGCGCACGCTCGCTCGCACGCTCTCTCTCGCGCTCTCTCACGCACTCTCTCTCTCTCACATGCTCTCTCACGCGCACTCTTACGCGCTCTCTTACGCGCTCTCACGCACTCTCTCACGCGCTCTTCCACGCGCTCTCTCACAGACTCTCTCACGCGCACTCTCTCGCGCTCTCTCACACGCTCTTTCACATGCTCTCTGACGCGCTCTCGCATGCACACTCTCTCGCGCTCCCTCTTGCGCTCTCTCACGCACTCTCTCTCGCGCTCTCCCATGCGCACACTCACGCGCACTCTCACGCGCACTCTCACGCGCACTCTCACGTGCTCGCTCGCTCGCGTGCTCTCTCGCGTGCTCTCTCGCGGGCTCTCTTGCGCGCTCTCTCACGCACACTCTCACACGCTCTCTCACGCGCATTCTCACGCGCACACTCACGTGCACACTCACGCTCTCTCGCGTGCTTTCTCACGCACTCTCTTGCGCTCTCTCTTGCGCTCTCTCTCATGCACATTCTCTCTCTCACGCGCTCTCTCACGCGCTCTCTCACGTGCTTCTCGCGCTCTCTCTCGCGCGCTCTCACGCGCGTTCTCTCTCTCTCACGCGCTCTCTCACGCGCACTCTCTCTCTCTCACATGCTCTCTCACGCGCTCTCTCACGTGCTCTCTCGTACGCACCCTCACGCACTCTCTCACACGCTCTCTCACACGCTCTTTCAACACGCTCTTTCACGCGCTCTATGACGCGCTCTCTCAGGCACACTCTCTCGCGCTCCCTCTTGCGCGCTCTCTCGTGCACTCTCACGCACATTCTCTCTCTCACACGCTCTCTCACGCGCTGTCTCACGCGCTCTCTCACGCGCTCTTTCACACGCTCTCTCACGCGCTCTCCCACACGTCTCCCACGCGCACTCTCACGCGCACACTCACGCGCCCTCTCACGTGCTCTCTCATGCGTCTCCCATGCGTCTCCCATGTGCACTCTCACGCGCGTGCGTACGCGCTCTCTCAGGCGCCCTCTCACGCGCTCTCTGACGCAAACTGAGGAGACCAATGACACACAGACTTTACGAAGAAGCGAAAAAAAAAAAGAGAGGAAATATGAGAGGGGGAAGGGTGGATGAAAGGGTTGGCAACGCACCTGATAACGACGGTGCCTCAGAAAACAATCTGCGCTCGCGCACCAACCCGCGCTCGCGCACCAATTCGCGCTTGCGCTCGTGCACCTGTCGCCGGATGCGACGGCGGGGAGGAGGGAGAGGCGACGGCGGGGAGGGAAGGAGAGGCAACGGCGGGGAGGGAAGGAGAGGCGACGGCGGGGAGGGAGTAGAGGCGACGGCGGGGAGGGAAGAAGAGGCGACGGCGGGGAGGGAAGGAGAGGCGATGGCGGGGAGGGAAGGAGATGCGACGGCGGGGAGGGAAGGAGAGGTGATGGCGAGGAGAGAAGGAGAGGCGATGGCGGGGAGGGAAGGAGAGGCGACGGCGGGGAGGAGGGAGAGGCGGCGGCGGAGAGGAGGGAGAGGCGACGGTGGTGAGGAGGGAGAGGCGACGGCGGAGGGAGAGGCGACGGCGGAGGGAGAGGCGACGGCGGGATGGGAGGGAGCGGGGACGGCGGCTGGGAGGGAGGGAGACGCAATGGCGGGGTGGGAGGGAGCGGCGACGGCGGGGTGAGTGGGAGAGGCGACGGCGGGGAGTAAGGGAGAGGATATAGTGGAATGGGGGAGAGGCGACGGCTAGGTGGGAGGGAGAGGCGGCGGCGGGTTGTTAGGAAACGGGCTAAATAGATGCTAGGTAAGTCGTGACTGTAGGATTGGGTATTGGTGGGGAGAAGCACTCCGGTTGGGGAGGAAAGGGCACCAGGTGGAAGACCAAGAACAAAGAACCAAGAAGAGTCAGCGTCGAATTCGAGTTGACAGGTGTAAAATGAAAAAACGAACACTTTTCTTTCGTTACAAGATCCCAAATATTTTGGCCCGACTCCAATGTCACATTGTCAAGGTGACTGTATAAAAAGCTGTAACTTTAGATATATGATGTTTGTAAAGCAGGATTGTAGGTGTGTAACCACTCGAAACTTGTCATTACAATCCGAGATCAGTTGCAATGATTGTGTTTGTGACCGGGTTGGACTCAGAAAAAACGGGAGCAGACATTAACTCACACTTTGTGGCGGTAGTGAATTCAAGTTAATAACGAGCAAAACGATGCCACGCGGTTCAGTGCGCTTCGAAAATTCTCCATACAATTTTGCACTACAAGAAGCAGGAACAAGCAGACAAAAAAATACAAAAAACAAAGCACAAAGAAGAAGAGCGAGCAAGAATCAACAGGGTTGTCGGTTGGCTGGCAAGAAAGTTTCTGCCCACACAAACGAGGCAACGAGGCATGGACATTCTTAGATTTTAGTGATATGTATGATAATTAGCACGATTGGCGGAATAAAGAGCCTAAACGGAACCTGGGCACTTAGAAAATTCAATATCAAGCTTAAACAAAACCTGGGCACTTGACAAAACAAAGGCAAACACGAAATTTGAAAGCAGTGTCGCGTGTAACACACGAATAACCACCTAACGACACATCAGAGTCAGGTGGACACAGCTAACCTGCTATAGTAAATTGTAAGGGCAATAGAATAAGATGGATATAAAGAACATTGTCTCAGGCAGACCCACTCCCCTTGGCTGAGCCTTTCGAGGTCACTTCCGACACCTCTGGCCCAGCTGAGGCAGGTGACGTTGCTGTTGACGACGCGGCGGCCCCCCGCCGCTCACCACGCTTGGAGACCCCTCCGGATGTTCCACCTCGACCGTCTTCGCCGCCTCTGCAGCCGATTGTTGTCTCTGGGGATTGCTGAGCCTGAGGGTGCTGAGTATGAGGGTGCAGAGCCTGGGGGTGCTGAGCCTGAGGGTTCCTGGGGGTGCTGAGTCTGGGGGTGCGGAGCCTGGGGGTGCTGAGCCTAGGGGTACTGCGTCTACTGGAGGTCCTACATGTGCCTCGCCGCAGCGGTCTAGCCGCCAGGAGCCTCTCTCACCATTGCAGCCGCGCGAGTAGTTTGCTCGGCGCACCCGCATTTGGAGTGGTGCTGCTGGAGCTAGAGGCACTGCCGCTGGAGGCGCTGGCGCTGGAGGCACTGACGCTGGAGGCGCTGGAGCTGGAGGTGCTGGAGCTGGAGGCGCTGGAGCTAGCGACCCTAGAGCTGGAGGCGCTAGTGCTAGAGGCCCTGGAGCTGGAGGCGCTGGAGCTGGAGGCACTGGAGCTAGAGGCGCTGGAGCTGGAGGCGCGGGAGCTGGAGGCGCTGGCGCTGGAGGCACTGGAGGCGTTGGAGCTGGAGGCACTGGCGCTGGAGGCGCTGGAGCTGGAGGCACTGGAGCTGGAGGCGCTGGAACTGCAGACCCTAGAGCTGGCGGCGCTGGTGCTAGAGACCCTGGAGCTGGAGGTGCTGGCGCTGGAGGCACTGGAGCTGGCGGTACTGGTGCTGGAGGCACTGTGCAGCAGCGACCGTTTTTCTTGCCGCCGCCGCAGCTGTCACTGCTACCGCCTGCCTCGGTGCTCCGTCAGGTTCTTAGTCTTCCTTCGTCCACTGCCCTTCCTCTGAACTCACCGCTGCCTGGCCCCCCTCGTAACACTGAGCAGCCAGCCTCCCTTACAGAGCGTCGTGAGCCTGCGTCTCGTCCTGCCTCCCCTGTTCGCACTGTTCGCCGTGCTCGTCGTATTCCCTTTCCTTGTCCTCCACCCAACTCCGACACGCACACTATAGCACTACGCCCTTCCTCTGTTCCACAGCGCGTTCCCCTGTTGTCTCCTCCGGCGTCCTCTCTTCCTGACGTTCCGGACCCTGAGTCTGACTTGGTTCGTGCTGCCAGCCCTACTGCCATACGTCTCCTAGCCACTGTTGTCACTGACCCTTCTTTTGAGTCCACTACTGCGTCTGCCTTAGTTGCTGAGCTTGTTGACTTTGCTGCTGCGTGTCGTCTAGACTATGCCACTAGTCTTGTTGCTGAGTCTGAGTCTATCTGTCCTCCGTCCGTCGGAGGTGAGTGTGCTCTTGGCACGGACGTCCTTGAGGACAGGCAGGAGGACTTTGAGTGTCTTGCAGCTGCTGTACCTCATCTCGTGGCCATGTTGCTTGCACCTGAGGGAGACCCGGATGCACTGGACATCCCGACCCCGCGCTCTTACGTAGAGGCGATTACGGGTCCCTACTCCTCTCAGTGGCACACAGCCATGGACGCAGAGATGGCATCGTGGAAGTCCACAGGCACTTACGTCGACGCAGTTCCCCCTCCTTGGGCGAACATAGTCGATGGCATGTGGATTTTCAGGGTGAAGCGGCCGCTGGGTTCTCCGCCTGTCTTCAAGGCTCGTTACGTTGCATGAGGCTTCAGTCAGCGACAGGGAGTTGACTTCTTTCAGACCTTCTCCCCTACCCCAAAGATGACCACTCTTTGGGTGTTGCTGCACGTTGCCGCTTAGTATGACTACGAGCTTCACTCCCCTGACTTCAGCACAGCTTTTTTACAGGGCAGCCTGCACGAGGAGATCTGGCTGCGCTGCCCTCCTGGCTTCACTGGGTCGTTTCCTGCTGGTACCCAGTGGAGCCTCCGACGGCCAGTCTACGGTCTCCGCCAGGCGCCCCGCGAGTGGCACGACACACTGAGGACTACACTTGCGGCTCTTGGGTTTGCTCCTTCGACTGCTGACCCGTCGCTGCTTCTTTGCACTGACACTTTGCTGCCGCCGTTCTGTTGTGTGATGCTATCATTCGCATTCACGTCTGTCTGCCTCCCATCATATGTTCGTACGTTGCATGCGTGGTGTGAGTGTGCGTGTAAATTTGTGTTTGGTGTGGTTTGGATTTTCTGAGTATGTGTGAATGTTATTTGGCTTGAGCAGATATTTGAAGTGACTCCTCTGCTCAAGAGCTTTCCGACGAACCAAGAATCGCCGCGATCGGAGCAAGAACGAGAAAGTTATTATCGTTCGAAGTTTTGATTGTGATGCGGCGACTTTGGGAATTTGTGGAGTGACTCTAAATGGGGTATAGACTTTTGGGGGTTGGGAAATTCGTCCCCATTACTGTAGATGTTTCCAAGTGGTTGGGAGAAGCCAAACCAGGTTGGCAAGTGTGGCCAAGTTGGGAAGGTGGATGGCATGGGTTGGGAAAGTGACAAATGTCAAAGTTGGGGTGCTTATAGAGAGGGGAATTGTGTGGTATGGGGTTTCCTTGGTTGGGGACTCCTTGGGGACCTTCCCTCTCGTCCTCCTCTTCCCTCCTACCTGGTTTCTTGCTACTCTAATCCTCTTTGTGAGAACTTGTGAGAACTCTTGTGATTGAGTTAAGCTTCTATTGCAGCATACCCCCCAGTGCGCCGAATTTAATATCTCGCGATATACTCCACCTTTTCATGTGATTCAAATTGGGACTTGTAGCCACGGTCTAGAGCTACAACATTTTTGGTTTTCGCAAGATTCCAACGGTTAACTTTTCGTCGACGGCGTTTCTTGTGAAGTCGACATTTCTGTCCAGAGATTAGGTCCAACGATTTTGAGATATTTCGGCCCCTAAACGTTTAAGACTCCGTCCTTAGTCTCTAACAAGTGGTATCAGAGCTGATTGAGGACTTTGTGGGGAGTCTACTGAGGTATGAAGACCCTTCTAGACCCACCATGGCCTGTGGGCGTGCCTAAGTGGTGTTCTGAAGGTTGGATGTGACTTCTCCTAAGGGGAAACTCTGCCGAAATTTCGTTGGCGCCGACACTTGTGAAAATATTGTGGGACTTCGGTGTGGACAGCAAAAGGGGGAGCTGAAACCTCTGATTGGGAGCAGAGGAGATGAATCAAGGGAGTGGAGATGCAGCTGAGAAGAGGAGTGAACCGCCACCATCCAAGATCGAAGCTTTGGATGGCTCCAATTATGAGGAATGGAGCGGGCGGATGAGGAGCGTCTTCAAGCGCTACAAGCTGCTGAAACTTGCGATGGGAGAGGAGAAAATGTCAGAGGAAGGAGATGCCCGCGATCGGTGGATTGAGAAGAGCGCGGTGCTGTACGACTTGATTTTGCAGTCGGTCAACAATGACATGTTCCAGCACATCAAGGATTTGGTGGAGCTCGATGACTTAGGACCGAAGGCGTGGAAGCTGCTACGCGACGTGATTCAGCCCAACACGCTGCCCATGGTGATCGTGCTCGAGAAAGTGCTGGCGGCCATCTCCATGCGATCGGGAGATGATGTGAAGCCGGTCCTTGACAAGATCAAGGACACCTATGCGAGGATGGCAGCGGCGGGCAGCAAGGTGTCGGAGATGCAGCAGTGCACCAAGATCATCTCGGTGCTCGACAACTCGTGGGAGAACCTCATCCCCACCCTCAACGTTCAGCAGGACAAGTGGACGCCTGAGTGGCTACGGCAGCAGATCCTGCAGGAGGACTTCCGCAGGCGCCACACAGGAGGTGGTGCTGCCAACAAAACTGCTGAGGGGTATGGAGCTGCAGGAGGAAGCAGAGGAAGAGGGGGAGGGAGAGGCCGAGGCCGTGGGAGAGGCTTTGGCAGAGGGAGAGGCCGAGGTGACTACAATGAGGGGCATGGGAGCTCTGGTGGTAGGGGGAGCACCCGAATGGAGGGTGCATGTTGGTACTGCAAGAAGGCTGGACACCCTTGGTTCAAGTGTTTCAGCCGGCCTGAGGGATGGGCACCCTCAGACATGAAGCCGCCGAGTGGTGAACGTGCACGAGGTGGCGCTGTGCAAGGTTCAGGTGCACAAGGTGAAGGTGCACAAGGTAAAGCCTCCCCTGGGATGTTCTTGATGGTTGAGGATGTGAAAGGGAGTGAGGGTGATGTGGGTTCGGTTGGGAAGGTTGTGATGCACCCCCTCACTCACTGGGTGATAGATTCAGGTTGCACAAGCCACATGACCCCACGGGCAGATTTGCTTGATGAGGTAAAGCCCCCTGGGAAGATCAAATTTGTGGCTGCCGCTTCAGGTGCTTTGCTCCCTGTGATTGGTGTTGGGAATGCTAAGGTAATGGGAGCCAATGGGGAGCTTGTGGGACTTTGGAATGTGCTGCTGGTTGAAGGTTTATATGCTAACCTCCTCACTGTGCGCCGACTGCAGAAAAGCAAGGCCAAAGTTACGTTCGGCCCAACGAGC